GGCAGACGTCCGTGTGACTCTGGTCTTTATCCTTGGAGTACGTGCTGTAACTCAGGTCTTTATCCATGGGGAGGGGTCCTTATCCATAGGGAGTCGTCTTGCGACTGGCCCTAACCCACTTGCTAGGTGGGGACGGAGTGCAAGGAATGTGTGCATGACTTATAGCCACTTCTTTTAGAAGGGGTTCGGGTCTGTGACTCTGACGCTCATCTTTTGAAAGAGGGCCTCAGTGTGTGATTATGGCTGGTATTCGTTGTGGGTTCCTGCCTTGTGATTTTTGGCCCGTAGTTAGTTGGGGCTGCTGTCTGTGACTTTGGTCGCTATCTGTCGTGGATACCGGTGTGTGACTCTGACCTCCTTGCCAGAGTCTACTGAGGGTTTTCTATCTGGCTCGCATCCACTGGGACCCCTGGTTGTGATCATAACTCTTATCCATCTGGGAGCAGGTAACTCTGGTTCCCTGTGGCTTGAGGAGGAAGGGAAAATTGGTCGTGTGTATACATGGAGGAGAGGTGTGGTGGCAACGTAGTGTTGGGCAAGTGTTGTTACCGCCTGGCTTTGCCTGATTCCTGCTCAGAGGGTGGGGCCTGAAGATTCTGGGATACTTCTTGGTGACCCCTGGCCAGGTCACGTGGCTCACAGGACTTACTTAGTTCTCATGGCAGGCTTGGGGGTTGGGTGAGGCGACTTCCCTTCCATCCCAGCAGAACAGCACAGTGGTTGGAAACAGCCTCAAAAGGACTCCTTTCGCCTCTGAATAAGTTGGGCCCAGAGCCCTAGGGAGAGAACCACCTTGGGACCTGGCTGCACATAAGAGACAGGGCTCGAGGCTGAGCCAGTTGCCGAGTAAGGGCCAAAGCTGCGTTGGCCAGGAGCCCGGGGAGGCGGCATTTGTCTCACTGCCAAGTTAGCCCCTTTACCCTCTGGGCCTTTCATGATCTCCTGCTGTCTTGTAGGGGACAGCCAACATCTTGTTGGGAGGATGCAGTGGCACTGAGCGGGGAGTGGGGGGGCATGGAAGGAGCTTGGTGGGTGCCTAGGACTCCCATTGTGAGGTCTTGCCTCCCAGCCTAACATGCCTGACCTCAGACAGGTCATCCAGCACTGAGAGCCCCCTGGGCAGGTAGCTCCAGGCTCAGTCTCATCTACCAGTCTCAGATGGCAAAGCCTTGATCACAGAATAGGTGGCACCACCACGTCTCTCTGCAGGATGCTTCCTCTCTGCTGAGGGCCTTGCTTTTTCTGTTTTATTTTATTTTATTTAAGTAAGCTCTACGCCCAACATGGGGCTTGAACTCACAACCCTGAGATCCAGAGTTGCATGTTCTACTAACTGAACCAGCTGGGTGCCCCTGGCCTTGCTATTTCTAGGGTGGTGGGTTCTAGCCTCACGTTTGTGGGGAGAGGAAGGAGCAGGCCAGGTAGGGGCTGCCTTCCCACCCTGGTCCATAGGAACACTAGGAAGTTGGGAAATAATGTCCCTGGGCTAAGGGACAGCAGAGAGCCGCGCGAGCAAGGGTTTTTCAAGGAGGCCCCAACTGCCTTGACCCCTTTCTTCCTTCTACTCTCTCCAGAGTCCCTGCAGGAGGCATCACCCAGGCTGGCAGATCATGGTGGCAGCAGCGGGGGTGGCTGGGAAGTGAAACGGAGCCAGCGGCTGAGGAGGGGCCCCAGCAGCCCCCGCAGGCCCTATCAGGACATGGAGTATGAAAGACGGTGAGTTACCCACTCCCACCCCTACCAAGCATCCTAGGCTTATCCCCATATAAAGAATTGATCCAGGAAGGTGCCAGGAGGGGGCTTCCGAGCAGAGGAAACAGTGCAGCAGATGATTGGTTTCTTTTCAGCGAACATTTACTTGGCACCTGTCGTGAGCCAGGACCTGTGCTAGGCTCTGGGAATGCAGTGGTGAATGAGACAGATAAGACTGCAGCCTTCTTACTCAGGGTCTCACAAGGGAGACCACACAGTTTACAAGTGATTAAAAAACAGCTCTATAGGGGCGCCTGGGTGGCTCAGTCGGTTAAGCGTCCGACTTCAGCTCAGGTCACGATCTCGTGGTCCATGAGTTCGAGCCCCGCGTCGGGCTCTGGGCTGATGGCTCAGAGCCTGGAGCCTGCTTCCGATTCTGTGTCTCCCTCTCTCTCTGCCCCTCCCCCATTCATGCTCTGTCTCTCTCTGTCTCAAAAATAAATAAACATTAAAAAAAAAAAAACAGCTGTATAGGTGCCACAGTTGGTTGTGAAGTTGGAAAGGGATCAAGAGAAAGGGAGGAATGGAGGCTGATGCTCAGGTTTCCATTTTGGGTAACTGAGGTATATGGTGCCATTCACCAAGGTGTGGACAGCCACTGCAAGAGGAGAAGCAGAGGTGGGTGGCAGTTGGGTGGTGGTGGCTTGTAAGGGCCTGTGGCTTCTCAGGGGAGAGGCGTGGGCTGCAGCTTTGGGTTGGAGGAATGAACGGGAGTGATGCCCTCAGAGTCAGGAATTTTGTGCCGGATAAGTATAGGGCAAGCCAGGTCAGATAGCAGGAGACTTCAGGGACAGGGTGGGCTAAAGCTTGTGTGATACTTGTCTTGGAATGGAACACTCTAGTACGGTTATTTTTATTTTATTTATTTTCTTCGTATGGTTATTTTTAAACTCTAGTAGAACAGGAAACGAGGCACTTTGTAAAATGCCCTCACCATCCTGGTGGATCACTCCAGTTGATTCTAATGCAGATGACTTAATTCTTGACATTTTAAGATTGCATAGGAAAGTAGACCTAATGCTCCCAAGAAAGTCTCTATTAAGAGTCAGTAGATTAAAAAAAAAAAAAGTAGATTTATAAAAAGTCATGGAGGAAATAATTTTTTTAAATGCCTTACAAAAGGTTTCTTCTTCCACTACCCCCTTTAAAAATGTTTTCTGAAAAGTAAGCCCAAATTTGTGATGTGGTCATAATCTAGTGCTATTCAGTCTGCTTAAAAAATGTCTTTTGAAAGCATTCAGTTTGGGATTGTATTCACTGAAATGCTCTTCTGGCAGTTTCTGAGTTTGAGTAGGTGACATACTTGCTTCAGACTTTATAACCAGTTAAAGCCATTGTCTGTCTTCTGGCTTTCAAAGGACCTCAACTGCAGAGGTTTGAGTGAATCATACCTTTTCGGTAGGTTCCTATCACAGGTCAGTACAGAGCCTTCTCTTGCCATATTTGGTTTTTCCTTTTTATTTCCAATTCCCATAGCTGTAGGCAGCTGCTCTGTCCTTTTCGAAACGTATCCTTCTAAAATAGGTAGCACAGTGTCTGTGTTTTCAGTTTACACAAGTGGCAGAGAGCTACGGTTTTCATTTTGTTTCCTGAACCTTGTATTACTCGGCACTGACTGCATTTTTAAGATCTGCCTCTACTGCCATGTGTATATTAGTGCTTCTCTTCTAATTGGTCCCAAGGACACCTTCGGGTGTGCCTGGTGCCTTTTACTTAATGATTCCCTCAAGCATGGATACCTGGGGGCGCCTGGGTGGCTCAGTCGGTTAAACGGCCAACTTCCGCTCAGATCATGATCTCATGGTTAGGTTCGTGGATTCGAGCCCCGCGTTGGGCACTGTGCTGACAGCTCGGAGCCTGGAGCCTGCTTCAGATTCTGTCTCCCTCTCTCTCTGCCCTTCCCCTG